CAATTTTGTTTTTGTGTCAATAGTAAAAGGGGTGTGCATAAGACTGACATGACACCTTCATAACCATGACATGACATATGTCTTGAATATGAAGTAGGGTTTATGCATGTTTATGACAACTGTCATTTAGTGTCTTTTGCTCAATAATGACATTTTGAATGACATCTTGACATAAACCATAACATCAAAACCTGTCAGTGTCTTTGTCATGACAACGTGACATAAAATTAAGTTAAACTGTCATGTGGTTGGCTTTGACATTGGCTGTCATGAGGCCATTATAACTGTGCCATAAATATTTTTTGTGACCTCAACTACATTGGTACTAATTGAATTTGCCATTAAAAAGTTATGACAGTTTAATGTCATGTTAACCAATAAAGCTAAGTGGTTTCTTAAGTTTGATAATTAATCTGTCATGTTTATGACAGGTTGTGTTGTCTTAGTAATGTCAAGTTGTCATGACAAAGACATCTCAAACAATGTCATATTTGCATTAAAAATGTCATAACTGAGCGAATGACACTTAATGACAGTTGTCACAAACATGCATAAAACATTACCAAAGATTTACCAAAAAGTTTTAGGGTAGATGCAATTCATTGCAGCTATTTTGCATTGTAATATAACACACACACACACACCTTTAAAACAAAATTCTGCAGAAATCACTGGCATGTACACAAGCAGGCTGTCAGTCACGTGCTACAACTCTTTTACATATATTCAGTCATATAGTCACTGTCTGCCCTCATCTTTGTATGGTGAGAAATGTTCAGCCTTGGACTAATTCAATAAACATCACACAGTTCTTCAGTGCATTAAGAAGCATAGTAAGGACGGTAGGAGTCTGTGCATTTTTCTCTTTTTAACTCCATCCACCACTCTGTGCATGAATGCTGATCTGAGTGTGCCCTTTTCATGCTCACTGCTTTGCTCTCTGTGTTCTAGTTCGCGGCAAGAGAGAACAAGGCAGTATGAGAGAGAGAGAGAGAGTATGAGAAGGGATTGCAGAGGGCCTAAGGGCCAGAGAGCTGAAAAACAAACCTATGGTTACGTAACAGGAACAATTTCACGTGACACGTGTAGGTTAATTAGAGCAGTAAACCAGGATGCCTGTTCTAAAACCATTTCCATGGTATATACACACTTTCATATACAGGCATATACATACACTATTTAAGTGTGAATCAGCCATTACAGTGACATTCAGAAGAGTCAAATATATTAATAATATAGTTTAGAGGTCATTATTCAAACATTTTTGACAGTCTCTCACATCTTACTGATTATGTTCAGTTCAGTTTATGTTTCGTTTCCTCTTTGTTCCTGTTTTGCCCACTGTAGTTCTCTAGTTAGTTTCCCTGGTTGTTATCAGTTCCCACACCTGTTCCATTTGATTACACTCCCCATATATTTAAGCCCTGTTTTTGTTCACTTCTTTGTCTGGTATCGTCAATTGTATGTTATTGTCCTCTGAGATATATATATATAGATACAATAACATAATATAGATAGATAGATAGATAGATAGATAGATAGATAGATAGATAGATAGATAGATAGATAGATAGATAGATAGATAGATAGATAGATAGATAGATAGATAGATAGATAGATAGATATGTGTGTGTAAACAGTTTCAAAATGATATGAATCAGCATTATATAAATATTTTACATATAAATAATATTTTTTTTCTTAAATATACATGCATGTGTGTGTATTTGTATATATATATATATATATATATTTATATACAAAATAATTATACACAGTGCACCCACATATATTATATAAACACAAACTTTTATTTTGGATGCGATTAATCATGATTACTCATTTGACAGTCCTAGTATATATATATATATATATATATATATACACACATTACAAAATTTTATACAAATTATATTTTATTTATAATAATTATAACATTTTATATCAATTTTAAATTAGAAATGGAATAAAATATCTAAAATATTAATTTTTTTTTTTTGAATATATATCATTTTTTTATTTACTTCTAGGGGTCCTGTGCCAGCCGAGCAACTAACATTGAGAAAAATGAGAATGCGAACAATGAGTTTTCTTCAGGTAACCCTTGTATGTAAACGTTGTTGAAATGCTGTAAAACATTTTCATATGCAAAACACTAAATTATAAGTATAAATTGAATTGGACTTTATTTGGGGCCTTCAACTTCTCCAAAATTCTTTGTATTACACACCCTGCACTTCATCTATACAAACATTTGACGTAATCTTCCTCTTTCCCTTTAAGAGGTACACAGTCCAGTGTAGAGGGCAACAAGACAGGCCATCTGTCCAACTGTCAGTAGGTATCTGTCTGCCCTCTGACTCGCCACGGCAGGACAAGCGTGACACATCTGTGCCAACCGTGAGCGTCAAAATCGAATCTGTTGAATAATTGCTTATGACAGCCTTCATGAATCAAGAAAGAGGCAGAGAATTGTTTTTTTCTTTTTGATAACAAAAGCCATATCGTGATTTTCAGAAACAGCTGCATGAACAGTAACACAAAAAACAGAATATGATATTCTTTGAGACACATGGTGCATTTAAATTGATGTGTAAAGACAAACGACTCCACTGACAGCCAGTTATCTTTAGCTCCCACATTTTAGAGGCTCTGACATCGTAAGCTGTGCACACTAGCTTCAGCTCTTCCCTGCTGTGCATGGAGATCATTTAAATGCACTCTCTAATCATAGGCACACATACAAACACGCATGCGTGACTGTGCATGCTCGAACGCTCATATTCTGAAGGTTTCTTGGAGTGCGCACTGGGAGTTTGGGTATGTGCCATCTAATCAGAGTAGTGGCTAGAGATGATAGCGAGACGGGTATTATGGTAGATAGACAATTTAATGGCATAGAGGAAGAAGATATCACTAAATTAATAGGACATTACCTCTTGGTTTATTGTTGTGTGTTTCAGGTAGTCACAAACTTATATTGTGGGGAACTTGTGGTGCCACTGAGACTTTGTAAAGGGACTAACATGGAAAAGGGTATCTGTAACCGTTGGGGTAAGATATTTGAATTATTTTGATATGAGATAACCCATTATATTATGTGTGTGTCCACTGTCCACCAATTTCTCTCTAAGCTGTTGATGAGTAAAAATATATGGGGGAAAGCTAGAGAGCTTAAGCTGTGAGAAATCTTGTGTGGAAATATTCAATATATATATATATATATGAATAATGAATATATAATATAATTCATTATTAATTATAACTATTAGTTGCAGTCATCAATCTCGATCAGTGTGTGCATTAGAAGTGGGCATTGTCAGTGACTCTTTATGCAGGTTATGACGTTAGGTGGCGTCAAGTGACCGTTTTAATTAATTTCCTGTGTCCTAATATTCATACTTCCCTATTACTGTATCAAAATGTACTTATCAAATATAGTAACTACTTAGTTTGCGATTTCGGATACAATCACTGACCCATTCAAAAACATTGCTTTCATTTAATGAGTCATTGAATTATTCACCAGACCATTTGAATTTGACACGCAGATTAATTAAAAAACAAAATGCCAATATGTGATGCTCGAATATGCATGACAGTTGGCTTCGTTTGGAAATATTTTTAGTTGGAAAAGCAAAATTACAGAAAGTAGCCATATTATGCAAGCCTGACTCAATATGAACTTGTTGCTTACTGAACTACTGTATGAAAGCAATACCAAACTCACAGTTGTGTTAATCTGAATTTAAGCACGATTGTGATTCCCTGCTGCCTTGTGCCTAAATGAATCAATACCTCATTTAGTAACTAATTACATATTTTATGCAGTATTTTTTCATTATAGAGAGCCTAAGTCCCTCCTCTTCCGGTCAACCACCATGGGACCTTATTTCGGAAAAATATTGTATGGTAGTCAATGGCGAGAGAATTTTGATCTCGTTTGAATTGTGCCCTGAATTGCACATATGATGTTTGTCAATTTAAAAGATACATTTTAAAGTCAAGAAAGTCGCCGTTTGATGTGAAACCGTTGAGGTATAAGACTGTGAAAATACGTCATTACAAAGACTACAAACCCCAAAGGCGCACATTTTCTCTCAATGAATGAAGCTAACTTTACTGAGGCTAATGTCTGTCATTGTTTCTACAGTCTTACGTTATAATCGTAACGTTACGAGTGTTTTGTACCAGACTGCACACACACGAGCAGCGGATCTCGCGCGTTGTTTCGCTTCCTGGGAGATGTAGTTCATTGAGCGATTTTCACATAAAACTAAAAGTTACTCTTCTGTTTTATGACAAACTGCGACGTTTTCGACTTTCAGAATTATCTTTTAATTTGACAAACATCATATGTGTAATTCAGGGCACAGTTCAGACAGAATAAAAAGATAAGTTGTCTCTCGCCATTGACTACCATACATATTTTTTTCCAAAATAAGGTCCCATGACCCGGAAGCGGAGGGGCTGGACTTAGGCTCTCTATTAAATAACATAATAATAACGTCATACTGACTTAAAGTTTATGCATCAGAACTCTTCATTTTATAATGAGGTTACCATAAGGTCCACCTAATAAAAAATAGGTTGCAATAAGCAAGAACGAAATGTTTGTCCCCAACCTCATAATTTCCTCACAAAGGAATCACTTAATTAAAGAGATTGAGTAATAGTGTAGTAATTATAATTAGCTTGATTCAAGTACAATAAATGTCAATGGGAGGTCCTCACCATGATATAAACTACGACGTGTGTGAAAGTGTGTGACTTTCATCTTCCAGCATGGGGGGGAACTGCAACCGGATCTACTGATGTGTCAGAAACATTCACAGCCATGCCTGAAGCGCTAAGTAATGCATCATGTGAGCATGTGTGACGGGATTGCATATATATAATGCTGCGTGCATGACTCCTTCCACATATTCACGCACAGTATTTACATAAGTAAATTCTTGACTGTCACAACCATTTTAGGGATCAACAAAAGAGCCACTCACCAGGTCTTTGGAAGTGCCCATCCTCTTCAGCCCATCCAGGGGCAGGAGATCTGCGGAGTCCTTGTGGCTGAACTGGGTGGCTTGCTTCAGTCTCCTCTGCTGGTGCATGATGGCTTTGTCCCTCATCTCTAACTCCTTCTTGCCCTCACTCATGTTTTTCGTGGATGAGAGGCTAAATAAACAGAGCTTCCCGCTTACACTGAAGCTTATTCTGGCACTGCACTGACGGGTGAGAGCCAGCAAGACGGTGACCCTGATTCAAAGCGAGACAACCTCGTAGGCTACGTACTAAAGCATGCACATGTGAACGCATGCAGGCGTAAATCAGTTGAGGGATCAAAAATGGCCAATTTTCCCCTGGATGACAACTCGTAACCAAACACAAGTTGGAATTAGTCCGCTTAAGTCCCCGATTGTAGCTTGTAATCTCTCCTGTAGCAGGTGATCCTGATAATCTTCTCCTGTGATTGACAGCTGTCAGTCCAGTGCAGTGATTGGCGTGGTTGCCATGGTGAAGAAGGTGTGATTGTTGAGAGCTTGAGTCGGTCTGTGTCCTAGCGATGTTCACGCTGTCCTTGCAGCTCTGCAGAGGCGAACTGTCCTCCCCTCTTTCCCTTTCGCGCTCTATCTCTCCTCTCCTCTCTCAATCTCCACCTCCCCTTTCTTTCTCCACCTACCTCTCTTTCACACTCCCACTTCTCTCTGTGTCTGTGTCGTTCTCCCCATATTGTCTTTTCAAAGTGACTTCTTTCAGCATGTAACATTAATGATCTCGGAATGATGAAGGCGTCTTTGAAATTTGCTTGGCCTTCGTCTTTGGCCTTCTCATTCTAAAGCTTGACAAAACTGTAATAGACTTTCTTGTGTGGTTGAAAATCTGCTCACCCTGCAACAAAAGATTTATAAATATGTAGTACACCAAGGCATTGTCCCTCCTACATTAAAATGTATTACGTCAAAATGACATTTAATGGACATGGCTATGTACATTAATAATAATGTAAGCATCGTAAAGTGTGTAAATACATTATAATGCTATTGTGTGCAACTTAAAAAATGAAGTAACCTGGTTGCCTTAAAATTTTAAGTTCATTGAACTGGAAAAATTGAGTTAATACAGTGTAGGAGATTGATTTAATCATCAGAAACTCAAAATATTATGTTATCTGAACTACATAAATGATTTAAGTTGATTTGACAAAAGAAAAAATGTTGTGATCATGTGATCACAAATCATGAAAATATATATTTTTTTAACAGTGTAGAACAAGCTGTGTCCGCTGCATTTATTTTAGCTTGAGAGCCATCAGCTAGAGTCAGCTCACTATAGCAGTGACACATTAAACGGCCATGCAATACCTCATTTCTTTCTTCAGCTCTGATTTGCTGGAGATATTATCATTTGGCCACATGGTGTACCAGAGAAAATCGGTAAAAGACACACTTCCCCCACTCAGCCCCCAATTCCCAACCAGTACAAATCACGCTGCTGGCTATTTAAAAAGAGGTCACTGTAATACAGAAGAATCACTGCTCTTTGCTGCCTGTTCTTTATCTGCAGTGCTTCATGTGTTTTTCATGGTTTCATCAGGATTTATGATCTTATTGTTTTAATACTTAAAAACTCTATTCATCTGCATTTGCATTATGTCCATTTGTAATGAATAATTGTGCGTGTGTTGAAAATATGCATTATGAATTAAGTTGTAGCACCACCAAGTGGCTATATTATTGCAACAAGGACATAAGGACATCTAGAACAGATGATTTAGAAATTTTGCCTTCCAGTAATGCATAGACTAACTGACCATGTTATTATGACAGGGTAGATCATGATGCTTGTCAAGAAATCTTTAAGTGGGGGAAAAATCTATCTATCTATCTATCTATCTATCTATCTATAATCTATCTATCTATCTTTATAAATATATAATTATTTGATTTTAGCGTGCAATATGAACTGAATGGAAGATTTACTAATCAATCAGTGTTTAAAGACAACCTCTTTTCTATTCATGAATTCCTGAAGATATGGTGAAAAGTACACTTATTATTGATAAATAATGAATTATGACAAACAGTTTATATAATTGTCTCTTTAGTTGCCTTTACTCGTCATCATCAATCAATCATCAGTCAATCATTTTTATAGAACTCTGCTGATCCTTCTCAAGTCTGTCGTCATAGAAACACTTCATTTTCAAATATATTCAATTATTTTCAATCCTACACAGTACAGGTAAAGCGAAGGATCAGCTGAAGCACACTGGTAAATAACGGCAGTCAAGTTCAGATAAGAGCTTGAGTGATAATAAAGTACAGTGTCTTTTCTTTCCAGGTGCAGTGTGGATCTGATTAGCGGAAGATGAGGACTGAAGAAGACAAATGGTTGGCAACAGGTACTGCGAACACAGGTTAGGGTCAAGTATTGTCCATATTTGACCCAAAATTGGGTTAAAACAACCCAGCATTTTTTAGAGTGTGTGTTAAACACAAAAGACAGAAGCATCTTGATACCCGGTGTAAACAACCTGTGTGCTGTGGAGGATTTGGATACGGACAATTGGCCCTCCACTGCTAATGTAGGATTACTAATTTTATTAACGTGTTTAATTTAGATTTCCAATACAATAGTATTTTATATGCAAACAGACTGTGCTGTCTCCGTACGAGAAGGCCATGCCTTTCATGTTCTCGTCTCACCGGGTGAAAACTCCTGTAGAGCAAGTTTGAACATCTGCTATTTTAATCACTGAGACCTTTTGTCTTGGAGTTCTTGTCTCTTGGGTCTCATGCATTTACGTTGCTTTGTTCCAGTGTCTCCACCTCTATGTAATTCTCCCAGTTGAAATGTATATAAAACACAATGTATACTGCTTTAGTTAGACTTGGCTAAGATTTCTGGATGAAGCAGACTACAGTGATGCAACAGCAATGAAGAATCCTGCCTAAGAAGATACATCCTGGTCTTCGCTTCTGAGTTCCTACACTTTAGAAGAAAAAGATTGACAACACCATCTTCCTCTATTACAGGTGGCTTGTCTTAGCTCGGACACCTGCTCAACATTTAGACCCAGTGACCGGAGTCATGCTAGGACATACACATGCTATGAGACACAGGAATTCACTGTGCAGATGCCAAGACAATAAATGAAGGACAACGATCAGATTCAAACTCAAAGGCAATGAATCTGCAATTTGCTGCAATGATGACACTGCTGATCTGATGGACAGCCGATTACGACAGAAGGTGACCTCACTAAGAAGGACAAGTGACTGTGACATCTGCCAAATGCAAAGACACGAAAAGAAACAAGCAATATAAAGCCTTTTATTTGCTTACCTGAACATTTTATTTTTGACTTGTTACAACCTTTACATAGCAAGGCAACTTGGGAACGTTCAACAAAACCATCATCCATTTCGGCTCAACATATGAAAAATAATCAAAATGCTACAAAACCAAAAGTAAATTGTGCATAAGTATAAAGTCCTTCACTTAAAAAAAAAAACACAAAAAACAAAAGAATATCCTTTTCTTTCACGTTAACATCAGGTCATCTCACTCAACCAAATGCAAAAATACATCACAGCGATTTAGGTCAGGCGCTTATGTATTTGTGCTTCATTTGTGCAGCACATATTAAGACACTTGTCCAGATATACAGTCATTGGAATAAAATAATTAAGAGTAATTAAGTCAAAAATCAACTACTTTTCAGGCACTGACAGTCTTAAACATTCACCATTTAGTCTGGCACTTTGGATCTTAAGGGCTCAGTTCACCTAAAAATGAATATGTACTCACCATTTCTTCTGCAAAACACAAAATAAGTGTAATTAAATATTTTATTATTTACTGTTTTTAACCTTATAAGGAAAGTCGATGGATCCAAAAACAATACTGGACCCCATTACTTTCACTTTATGGTCCAAAAAAAGCCAAAAAAACTAAGGCATTCATACAGGTTTGGAATGAAATAAGGGTGAGTGAATGATAATGGGATTGTTTTATTCTGAGGTGAACTACTTTGATGTCTCATTCGGGGGCTGAATTACCCTTTATGTTTAGCTTTTTAATTGGCTGGTGCAAGTTTAGGGTTAATTTAATCTGCAGGCTCTTTGAATGTGAAGCCTCCACTTGTAGTATATGTCAAGTTTTATATAATTAAGATCATGTACATGCATTTAAATTAGTAGATTCTGTGCAAGCTGAAAATGTTCGGTGCAACTCTTATAGTGTTCTCTCTTTTTGCCAAAATAAGAAAAAATATTTATTTACGGAATATATTAAGACTTCAAGGGCACTTTCAGAGAACTTCTGATGGAGATATTAAATATATTTTTACTGTACTTTTTTTTTTAAACGATTTTGTTCAAAATGTTGACCTTTATTTAGAAGTAATCATTTAAAGCACTATTTCACCTAAATAAAAATAAATACATATTCTGTTATAATTTCCTCGTGTCATTACAAACTTTTTTTCAACGATCAAGAAGGTTCAATGTTTTTGGAACAAAATGAGGGTGAGGAAATGATAACCAGATTGAAATTGTTGCCTAAACTATCGCTTTAATATCTCCTGCAGGTTCTTTGTGCTGGCTGATCATTCTGATCAAGTAAACTGGTGTGGCGATCCTTGTCCTTTCCGAAGTGTCTGGGCTCGCTATAATAGAATCCGTGTGTCCCGGCGGTCGGCAGTCTTCTCCAGATCCCCTCAGAGGACGTTGGGCAGGTAGAGTGAGCAAAGCAGCATGTTCTGTCCCAGAGCAGGGAAACGTCTGAACGCCTCCCAGGCATCTGAGAAAATGTTGTATTTGAGGAAGACGCGGTGCTCCAGGCTGGTTGGAAGCCTGACGTCTCTGCTCATGATGTAGATGCCATCGTTGTGCAGCGTGCAGGTGAGGTTCAAACCCGACTTTGACGTGTTCTCCTTAAGTTGCAACAATTCTCCCGTCCGCACGTTGTAGGACTGTACCGTCAGCATGTCCTCCGTATGGCTTAACCTCCGCCGTCCCATTTCTGCAGGTTCTAGCTCATGCGTGTAGCCACCCACTAGGTAGATGGTGTCCTCCACTGAGAGCATCTGCTGCTTGCGCACATGAGCCGAACAGGAATGGAACACGGACCACGTGTCCAATACGGGGCAGTAGCGCAGCACGCTGGTGTTCCTATCTGTCAGATATTAGGACAAAACCTGAGGTCATTTTAAGGTAATTTTAACGGAAAATTAAAGTCAGCATGAAACATAAAATGTATATATGAGCAAAATGTCATTTAATGAAAAAGTACAAATTAATTTAAGTAAAATAATTCTGATTTCTCATATTTTTGCTTTTAGATTACCAATAATCTAACACTCACTTAAAGTAAGTAATCTTGTACCAATACTAAAATTATGGCCAATTACATTGATTATTTTTTTGTTATAACCGACAAATATCCGACTGGTAAATAAATTCAAAAACACCAATTATATGTAATTCTACAAGTGAATTTAGCCATCATTTCATACACTGTATGAAAATTTTAGGGCTGTCAAACAATTAATCGCATCCAAAATAAAAGTTTGTGTTTACATAATATATGTGGGTGCACTGTGTATAATTATTTTATATATAGAAATACACACACATGCTTGTATTCATTTGAGAAATATTTTCAGGTATATAGATTTATATATAATTTATATTATGTATAAATATAAATATTTTATATAGAAATAATATTTTTTTCTTAAATATACATGCATGTGTGTGTATTTATATATATACAAAATAATTAGACACAGTGCACCCACATATATTATGTAAACACAAACTTTTATTTTGGATGCGATTAATCGCGATTAATCGTTTGACAGCCCTAAAAAAAGTATATGGATGTTGAGAGTTTTTAAAGATTAAATTTAAAAAACGACATTTAAATGTCCGAATAAAATTGATTAAAAGGAGCAATAAATGTTTGTCTAAACTTTTTTTCTTCTTGTAAAATCTATTTAAAAAAAAAAGGTTTGATGACATCAGCCAAATCTTGAGTAAGTAAAGACAATCATTGTTTTCTTTGGAATAATATACATAGTTCACCATACGACCACCAGTCACGTAAAAGAAAGTAAATGAAGTCTAATGCCAGTTACAGTGTGTGAGTGTGAATGAACCAAACTCTCAGACAGTGAGACACACCTCTAGAGGTATAACCGCCCATGACGTAGATCATGCCCTGACACTCACAGGCAGAGAACTCGGCGAGAGGTTCAGGCAGTGACGCCACACACGTCCAGTCCTGCTCCGGACTGTAGCACTCCACCGTCCCCAGACAATGACCTCCAACCGCATACAGCTTCCCACTCACGGCCAGGAGCTTGAAGTTTGATCTGGAAACCAAAAGAGCACTTACTGATCCCTTCCACTACTAGACAAACCACAAATAATTGGACACATCATGATTCATGAGTGAATTGTACCTCTTCTGGTTCAAAGGTGCCACATTGTTCCACTCATTCTTGGAGGGGTTGTAGCAGTGGGCCACCGAGATCTCCTGACTTGTCATTCTATATCCACCAACGATAAACAAGTAGTTGTCCAGCACAGCAGATCCGTAACCTCTAACATTGATCATGTCTGGAGGAAGGTTGTTGGCTAGAGGTTTCCAGCGTTGCTCAAGCTCGTCATACCTCAACATGGACCACGGCTCGTCCTGGTTTGCCAGATCCAGACAGGTGTCAGTGAAATCGCCTATTACTACTAAAGTGGCCGTACCTTTCATGCGCATATCTCGGATCTGATCCCGCAGAACAGCTGGCAACTTCTTGAACTCCTGCCTGCGCAGCATGACATGATAATAGCAGCTCATGAATTTCAAACAAGCGTTCCTAAGATCATGCATCCCGTAGACTTCAGAGAGATTGTAGAGCTCGACGCAATTCTCCTGCCTAATTTCCGAGAGGAGCAGTTTTAAAATGGAAGTGACTTGCAGAAAGGATGCGGTTTCGATCAGGTCCTCCAGAGTCTCGTTGGCCACCTGAACTTTGGAGGTGTTGATGAACTCAAGCACCAACTCGAGCCCCGGGATGCTCAGTCCCCGAAGCTGCACCGAATCCTCCCCGGACTCGCGCATACCTGAGCTGTATAGCGCGCGGAAGTAATCGCTCTTCTCGATCAGTTTGCTTTTACTCACATTGTACGTTTTGTCATCCATCACGATCTCTATAATCTGCTCGGGGGATGTCATGTCTCCTGTTCTGGGGTCAGCGGCTGTTTTTCAGATGTGATTAGAGACGCCTTTTCATCCTTCGATGCCAAAGCCTATATATGGAAATATTCAGCGCATAGAAACCGAGTCTGCTGATATGCATGCCATGCATAGATCCCATAAACAATCGCGTCTTTTGAAAAGAAAACGTATGGCTTGCATATACTAAAGGAATAGTGCTAAATACATTAATCTGCTTGTTTAACGTTAAACATGTTTAATTTGTCAGGTTTATACAGTCAGCTAATACGCATTCCTGAACTAAAGCGATATCTTGGCACTTGTTTAAACGCATTTCTCATCGGCAGAAATCTCTGTTGTGGTATAAATAATAAGGCAGTTTATTTTATTTTATTACACTGTACACTTTCAAATGTAAAACAGTTCCTGTTTTGGTCTCGTGGTTGTGTTGCGTCACGTGGTGGTGTCCTGCTCGCCCCAGCATGTTTTTTAAAAGTACATAACATTTTTTTAGTTTATACATTATATGTTCAATTTAATCGATAAAATTACTCTTTGAAGGGATAATCGCTGGAGAAAATATTATGAATAATGTGCGCATAGTGGAAGCGTACGCTTTTACTGTGTCACCTTGTTATTTCTTCCGCAGAGAAACTTGATGTGCGTTTAGGTTTGTAATATATATTATCGTGTTTACAAATTATATTCTTTAAATATGGTATTTCTCCACTGTATGTATTATTTAATAGTATTAAAACCTCCCATCCACAAAAATCACCTTCAGATGTATGTTTCATAATGAGCGGTCGAAATAATTTGTTCCCTGTTGCGGCAGGGTTTATTTTGTCGACGCACACAATTTAACGCCAATGCTCAGACAGAAGGGTCATTAATTTTAAGAGTCTAAAAAAGATTTATATATTTTTTCGGTATGGAAGACAAGCCTTTACGAGTGTAAGTTTTGATTTTGGTTTAAAAAGCGTCACATGTGAATGTTAGCTGGTTCGTTACACATCTCTATAAGTAATTTACACACATAAATAACAGCAAAGGCGGAGGTGTACATATAATTAACCAACGTGTTTTGTTTTCACGCTGCTTTAATGTTTCATTCCCTCTCAGTCTCGCATGTGGTGACGTTGAAGGAAGAATAAATGCATTGTTCAACCGGGTGAACGCTATTCAGAAAAAGAGCGGGCAATTTGATGTGAGTCTGCACGTGTATCTTAAGCGACAAACATAAGAAAGAGAGAGTTGCGGGTTTAACTAGACGGTTTTGTTTTGCAGTTGCTGCTGTGTGTTGGAGACTTTTTTGGAACCTCTCCCGAGGCTGAATCGGAATGGGAAACATACAAATCTGGTGCAAAAAAGGGTAAGGTTTCCTTGTATATCTTTAAAATGTATTCCTTTAATAACACCAAACAAATGTACTGATTTAAACTGTGCTCTTTCTAAACCCCCAGCACCAATTCACACATATATTCTCGGCGCAGCCAGTCAAGAGACTGTAAAGTATTTCCCAAACTCTGATGGCTGCGAGTTGGCAGACAACATCACATGTCTCGGTAAGATGGATCTATAACCTGTCATCTTTATTAAACATATGTCTTTGCTGTTTACATTGAGCTTAATATGTATTGTTGGGCTCAGGTTTGTCAACTACGCTTGTTTTTTTTTTTCCTAGGTCGAAGGGGCATTTTCACGGGTGCATCTGGGCTTCAGATCGCCTATGTCAGTGGCAGAGAATCACAACAGGAACCTGCTCCCTCACACTGCTTTACCCGTAAAGACCTCAGTGCCCTGGTGGCTCCTCTGCTGTCCAACTCTAAATTTCGAGGTGTGGACATTCTCCTGTCTTCGCAGTGGCCTCGAGGCGTGTGGCAGTATGGAAACAGTCCCGTTAGTGCTTTGTTGTGCTTCTTTAATACATTTTTCAGGTATTTTCTGATCGTGTGCTTAAGAATCGTTTGCCCTTTTCAGGAAACTGATACAAAGTATTGTGGGGTTTCGACCATCGCAGATCTCGCTGACAAGCTGAAGCCCCGCTACCATTTTGCAGGAGTGGAAGGGGTCCATTATGAGAGGCTGCCCTACAGGTGTGCTATTACAGCATCAGGAAATGTTTGACATTTTTCAAATGCTCTTTGTCTAACAAAATGTGTATACATTTGCAGGAATCATGTGGTCCTTCAACAGAATGCTCAGCATGTCAGTAGATTCATTGCCCTGGCAGGAGTCAACAATCCTGCCAAGAAGAAGGTATTTTTGTTTCTTTGTATGTTTTTTGTCATTTGTGTGTGTGTGTAAAACATTTGTATAACTGATATCATTAGATTTGATTATATTACATTTTCTAACCCCATTTTTGTCATCATCTTACAATGACTTAGTCATTATAATTTCACCATAGTAATATACAATTATAGTATGAAAACAACTTTATTTTAATAAGTTTAATAAGTAAGTTGCTTTATTTATATATATATATATATATATATTATTATTTCACTTTTTCTTTTTTAAATTCTTTATGTTGGTGTATCAATTTATTTCAATTAATTAAAAAATAGCATATATAAACGTCCATTTTCATGCTGTCTAATATTATTGTTATTATGTCTGAATTCACTTACAGGATTTAAACAATTTATTTTATTTTTAATTTTAGACAAAATTGTTTAAATTTAAAATCTGCCTTAACATGAAAACTAATGCACAGAATTTTAATATCTGTGCATCCCTACATATTTCATTTTTAATGAAGACCTGTGGCGCATGGAGACTGAATTCATGGTTTAACTGTAAAGTTTATGTTTTTTCTCAGTACTTGTATGCATTTAACATTGTCCCGATGAAAACCATGGACCCCACAGAGTTAGTCAAACAACCTCAGGATGTCACAGAAAATCCCTACAGGAAACCTACGAAAGATGGGAAGAAAGAAAGACCGACACCCTCTTTGGCAGACGCGGAGGTGTGTACAGTTTTTAACTTTCCTTAATAGTAGTAGTATGTAGGTGATGTATAATAATTACTCATCAAGTTTGGGGTCAGAATGATTTTTTTTTAATCCTTATATGCCTCAAAATCAAAAATCCAGTAAAACAGTAATATTGTGAAATATTTCTATTCAAAAGAACAGATTCCTATTTTAATATGTTGTAAAATGTAATATATTCCTGTTATGCAAATCTGTATTTTCAGCATCATAGCTCCAGTCTTCAGTGCCACATGATCCTTCAGAAATCACTCTAATATGATGATTTGCTGCTCAAGAAACTTTTCGTATTACAACATCAATGTTGTAAATAGTTGTGCTGCTTAATATTTTAGTGGATACTGAAATAAAAAATGTCAGGATTCTTTGATAAATTTTTTTACTGTCACTGAATAAAAGTATTAATTTCTTCCAAAAAAATAAAATAAAATCTTTTTTGATCAGGAGGAACCAGCATCCCAGTTCTTTTTTGATCTGGGGCAGAAGAAACCACATCACCAGCAACATCAACATGGCAGGAAGAGACAGTCGGACGGGGACAGACCCAATCAGCCCAAGCAGCCCAGAAAACCCCGTGAGTCCATTCACTTCTCAGAGATGCTCTAATGGATCAAACTGAACTTTTTATTACCTCATTTAGAAACACTCAGCAGGACTTATTTCATTTCTTTTTAGAGTTGATTTTTGGGGAGGATGTGAATTTATTTTTGCTTGCTGCTCTTGACAGACCTTGATTTCTGCTTTTATAACAGCACAGCCCACTGGACCCTGTTGGTTCTGCCTTGCCAGTCCAGAAGTCGAGAAGCACTTGGTCATAAGCATCGGGACACACGTCAGTTCACACAATATGTACTGCCAAACTGGTTTGGCATACGGTCACAAAATATATCAACTGATAAATGACAGACTTCTCTCCTGTTGCTTTTTCATGTTGATCTAATGTCAGTATTCTATTTCCAGTGTTACGTGGCTCTCGCTAAGGGTGGTCTTACTCATGACCATGTTCTTCTGCTGCCCATCGGACATTACCAGTCAGTGGTGGATTTGGCATCAGAGGTGGTTGAAGAGATGGAGAAATACAAGACCGCCTTCAAGAAGTTCTGTAAAAGCAGAGGCCAACGGTGCGTCTTGTTTGAGAGGAACTACCGCAGCCAGCACCTTCAACTACAGGTCCATATAAAATATTGTGTCATTCAAAATGAGATTGTGGTGTCTGCCTGAACAGACTGAACTGCACAGATCCCAGGTCAGTCTAAACAGCACCACATATATGAAAAAGAGAGTCTGGTAAACTTATTGCAGCACGGAGAGTGTGAGAGACGCCCCACCATCCACCAATCTCAGACTCCAACATCATTTCATCAGTTTAAGTCTGAGTGGATAGACAATCTGTCTGCATTGACGAGTAACCATTTCTGAGGGACGTGTTCCCAATGATGACCAAATACATGATTTCCTAAAGTTATGAGATAGCAGCGCATAATGGGATTAACGGACGGAAACTTCTCTTCTTCGTCATCCTCAGGTTGTGCCGGTGCCCATGGAGAAGTGCAGTACAGAAGACATCAAGGAGGCGTTCATGACACAAGCTGAAGAGCAGCAGATGGAACTGATGGAGATTCCTGCTCATACAGACCTCAAACAGGTACACACCATCGGTCTCCCTCAGACTGAACAATTCAAAGAGTTTTTATTAGGGCTGTCAAACGATTAATCGCATCCAAAATAAAATAATTATTATGTATATATATAAATACACACGCATGCATGTATATTTAAGAAAAAAATATTATTTATATATAAAATACTTATTTATATATAAATCTATATATAGTATATACATGAAAATATTTCTTAAATATATACAAGCATGTGTGTGTATTTATATATATATATATATATATATATATATAAAATAATTATACACAGTGCACCCACATATATTATGTAAACACAAACTTTTATTTTGGATGCAATTAATTGCGATCAATCGTTTTGACAGCCCTAGTTTTTATTTATTATTTAAAAATTTAAATTCAATATACTTTTAATATAATAATTTATTTATTATATTATATAAATATTTATTTTTAAATATATATACTATTAAAATAGCAACTTATTGCATTCTCATCATTATTATTATTATTATTATGTTGTATAAATTACTTATTTAAATTAATATAATATACTGTTAATTCAATCATGTAATTGTATTCTCATATTATAATTTATACTAATATATATTTTATATATATACATACACTATTAATATAATAATTTTTCTTCTTATTATTATTATTATTACAAAGTTTATTTAAATTATATTTACTAAGTTATGTCGTTGTTTTATTTATTTTTAAATTAAATATTGTTAATATAATCTATTATTATATAAAAAAATAATAATCTATTTACTTATTGGCATATGCAACTCTATTCACTTTTTGTTCTTGTTGTAGTCTAACCTGCAATAACAAATTCATGTGTGGTCTAAAATCAAATTTAACCATTTTTTTTTTTTTTAAATAACTGTTTGAGTGGTCAGATTTAATTGATTTTTTTTTTTATGTATCATAGGTCATTTGGGAAGTGTATTGTTTGTCCACTCTAAATCCAAAGTGTCCCAAATTCCTCTCTAGCCCCTTTCACACGGAGACTCTGGAAAATACACAAATAATGTGACCCGGCATTTGTCCCGGGATTGTTTGATTTCGGTTCATTCACACTGCCAGTGATTTGCCGGGATCTGTGAGTGCATTCACACACAACCCGTAAAGACACATGACGTCAGGATGAGACGTGTAACGTACGTGTCAAACATTTACACGTGCATACCGTTCCACTAAGCTGGTGAACGATCTCAGCTTCAGCGCGTATAGTGAGGAGCTCCTGGTCTCTGCTTCGCTCCAGTTTGCAGACATTAGTTCGTCCTTTCTTTGTTGATGACAAACTCAAACTTTCTTCTAAGAGCAACAGAGTCATGCAGAGTTCACACAGAATGTGTTCTGGCAATTTCCCGGCAATTTTCTGGGATCAACGCGCTGTGTGGGGCTTTTATGAATTATACAACATAATCTCTGTAGGGAATGCGTGAGCAAGTCATGATGAGACGATAAGTTTTCTGTAAAGATGAACTGTGACTAATATCCCACATTGCAGATTGCTCCTCCAGGAACACCCTACTTTTATGTGGAGCTGGATACAGGCGAGAAGTTGTTTTATCGCATCAAGAAAAATTTCCCTTTGCAGTTTGGCAGGTAATTGTTACACTTGCACAGTTCATCAACTGGGCGCAGTCATACACTAGTTATAAACAAACATTAGTATGTGTTTGACCTGATTGTAAAAATTTGCTTCAGCATAACCACCTGTGCATATCCTTTGTGTGCTGCCACAGGGAAGTATTGGCGAGCGAGGTGGTGTTGAACATCCCCATGCGAGCTGACTGGAGAGAGTGTAAATGTACAAAGGAAGAGGAGGAGGATCAGGCCAAAAAAGTGCGCTCTGACTTTGAGCCCTTTGACTTCACAATTGATGACTGAGCAGCACTTCAGATACATCTGACCATAACACCATCAATCATGTTTTTGAACTCCCTAAATGTGTCCAAAACTGCTTATTTTATCTTTTTATTCTTTTTAAATTTTGAAGCTTTCCTTTTCCTTTCATTTGACAACAGTTAGGAAATGACTGTTGTCATTGTGGTCTTTTAAAATATATCTTTGTTTTGGTGATGTATTACTTCATTGGATGCCATTAATGTGGAATTTTGTTTTGTGACTCCTAATTAAAAGTCATTTTTCAAATTTGTAAAATCTGCATTTTTTTCCCCTCTTGTAATAAGTGTTGGTTTCGTTCTCTGCTGGTGTTTGTCCTTTTCTTGGTCTACTATGTTAGCATGAGTCAAACCCCTGACATTTTAATTGTTTGTGCTTGGTACACAAACAGTTCTGCTGTCTGAAATATAACCCGTCATCTCATAGGCGACGTGTGTGTGTTTGTGACATTGTTTCAATCTTAGTAATTAATTAGAAATAGTAAAGCAATTTTATATACCATATTCTATCAATTATGATTATTCTCAATAAATATTTATTAATAAAACTCAACATTTACTCGAATGTTACATTTCTTAAAATCGACTTTCGTTTTTGGGAGCGGACTTTTATTATGGTAACGTGGAAGTGTTAAGGACTTTTGAGTTGCAAGCAAACGTAAACAGTCCAAATATAAATATGTGGAAGAAGATTTGTGTAACAATGAATTACTCTACAGTTTTATTTGTAAAACAAAACAGTATTTATTAAGGTTAGAAGGGTTTGGGAGCTTTTATTATGTTCAGAAGGCGGAAGTACGGCAGTGAAGTCACGTGAGGAGGTGTTTTCACAACGATGCATTTGATGCGCACTGCCAACTCGTTTTTTAACGCGTAAAAATCTGTGTCTGTGATAATTAAAACGCAACAGAGTTGCTGAAATGGACGAGGACGGATTACCTATTGTGGGATCAGGAATAGATCTTACAAAGGTGAGTGTGTTTTTACTTTGCAACATCAGCTGCTACTCACATGATCGTCTGACACCTATGAATTCTTTTTCACATAACTCATATGTGCACAAATCATCTGGTCTGAAACTGATCATTACATTTTTTTTTTTCTTAAGGTTCCAGCCATTCAACAGAGAAGAATCGTAGCTTTCCTCAATCAGTTCATAGTCCACACCGTCAGGTTCCTGAATCGCTTTTCCACAGTTTGTGAGGAGGTATGTTCACCTGTCAGCACATCATCTTTACAGCAACACTCAACTTATAACGTTACATTCTGGGAAGTGTCAGTGACCTGATGGAATTTGCGTTTACAGAAGCTAGCAACAGTATCACTTCGAATCCAGCAGATTGAGACCACACTAAGCATTTTGGAAGCAAAGGTATGTCAAAGCAATTAAGGGGGTTCAACTTTTATTTATTTTTTAAAAATGGTTAATTAATAACTTTATTAAAACAATTATTAAAAATAAGATTGAAATGAATAAAAATAAATACACGAACATTACATTTAAACAAATAAATTAAAAAATGATTTTAAATAATACAAACAAATTTCAGTTAGCCTCTATTCCTGGTTTGGAAGAAGTGACAGTGGATGGAGTGAGACCATCTCCTGTGACAAACGGCCCTGCAGTGCAAGCCAGTCCTGCAAGGGGCCCCCCTGTTGAGGTAACAGTTATTCTGATATATTAATGTCTTTATTAATGTCACTGCATTCTGAGGTTGTTATAACATAATGCCACTCATAGGAAGTCCTTTAGTCAGTATTAACACAAAATCCCTTTCCATTCAGGCATCTCAGCAAACACAAATGGCCCCTCAGGAGCCGAAAGCAGATGTCCCAGCAGAAAACATCATGACTGTAGCCAAGGACCCGAGATATGCCAGATACCTGAAAATGGTGCAAGTGGTATGCGTGTTTCTCTTAAGTTTCATCATTAACAAACCTACTCCCTTATTATGGCTGATGTCATGTCAAATGTGTATGCAAATGCCCAAATTTTACTCGTATGTTCACAGGGTGTTCCAGCTATGGCCATTAAAAATAAGATGGTATTGGACGGTTTGGACCCTAGTTTGCTTGAGTAAGTGTTGATGACCGTAAATAAAATCATGCATGTGTATAAGTTGATTGTCACTGTTTGTATGATTATGAGCTGTTTGTATTCTAGCTAATAGATTTATTTTTTTGTATCCTTCAGTACTCCTGATGCTCCTGTTCCAGGTGGTGGCAAAAAAGCCTTGGAAGAGCAAGATGATGACAGCTCTGACAGCGAATCATCCTTCAGTGATTGATTGGCTCTGCCCCCTCCCACAGCTAACTTGGCCTGGACTTGTTATACCTTGTTGGTCTTGGCCTACTGTATGTAGGCTGTCTTGAATCTTGCTCATGTCAAAGCAGGGTTAATGCACTTGATTGTCCCTACAAAGGACAGACATTAAGTGATGGCCTTAAAAGGTTGTGCTACATCATGGAGACGGCATACTTGAAATCTGTGGAGGTTTCTGAGGGCTGGTGCTCACTAGGTAAGATCGCGGATGATGATTTTGATTATATTTGAAGTCTGAGTACTACTCTCATGTGAAGTGTGTCATTTCTTGCCATGTACATATGTGTATCCAATAACAATAAAAAGATGCCATTGGGTGTTTTTATGAAATGGCCACAAGCAGCCTGGTTAATCTGTTCTGAAATAGATTTTTAAAATTGGTGCTGTGGGAAATTTCTTTTTTTTTTCATCTCCAGTTGGAACAATCTTGAATTGACTTCAGGAAAAAAGTCATATCAACCACAAAATCCACATAAAGCCCTATTTAATTTAGTTAGATTTTTTATGTTTCTGATACTAATTATGTAACATAGCATTGAAGATTTGCGTACATTGTCTTTTCCAAAGTAACTTATTAAAAGTTATATTCAAAATCATTTAAATGTGTTGTTGTTGTTTTTTAAATTATGCTATTATTGCAGGCTTGAATTTAAAATGTTTTTTAAATGAAGTCTGTTATGCATTTACTTGATTAGAAATTAGGGCTGTCAAACGATTAATCGCGATTAATCGCATCCAAAATAAAAGTTTGCGTTTACATAATATATGTGGGTGCACTGTGTATAATTATTGTGTGTGTGTGTATATATATATATTTTATAATAATTATACACAGTGCACCCACATATATTACGTAAACACGAACTTTTATTTTGGATGCGATTAATCGTTTGACAGCCCTATTAGAAATACAGTAAACCCTGGAATATTGTGAAATATTTTAGTTGATTTTTGTTTCAATGCATTATAAATAATTTGTTTCTGTGATGGTGAAGCTGAATTTTCAGCATCATTACTGATTGTCTGAGTGTCGCATGACCCTTCAGAAATTATTCTAATATTTTGATTTGCTGCTCTAGAAACTTTTCATCAATGCTCAAAACAGTTGTGCTGATTCATTTCTTTGTGGAGTCAGTTTTATTTTTTTCAGGATTCTTTGATGAATAGAAAGCTCAAAAGAACATGATTTCCTTTTTGATATAACATTAGTAATGTTTTTACTGTTACTTTTGGCCAGCGCCCTTACTTAATTATAGTATTAATTTCTTTAAAAGTCTAAAACCCCCACATTTTTAAACAGTAGTGTATGCAGCTGTTATTCCTTTCCTTAGAAACATTAAAGCAATCACTTCTCTTAAGCCATGCACATCATCATCATTGTCATGTGTTTTTATTCCAGAATTACAAAATCGGACACATTGTGCAATCAACGGACTTACATTCACATTGCACTGCATAAACAACAAGAGTAAAAAAAAAATACCTGTGGTTCGCTCTCAGCTGCACTGATTTTTTTTAAATGATCATGTAGAAAAACAACCGAAGCAAAGATTGGTTAAATGCAAATATGAATGTGCTATTTTGCCTTGGTTGATTATTATAAAAGGAGAATCACTATGATAAAACTTTCTTAATTGTTAGAGTGTATTACATTTCAAGTACGTTTCATGCCTTTTTTTTTCCAAAGACCAAAGTGCAAGCTACAAAAATATACACTGCAAATGATTATACAGATCTTTCAACGTGAAAAAAGCTAATAAGTTGTATAAAAAAATACAATTATATGAATAAAAATGCACCAAAAACAGTGAAACATAACTCCAATAACAGTATGATGTCACAGTCATTAATACTCTATTAAATTAACAGTCAGTTTCAGGGTGAATTGCTGTAAAAAGAAATAAAAGAAATGTTAAGTTTATCTAAGAGGAACTAAAAACGAATTTCACAAAAGGTAAATTTGAAATAATGTGAAAATCAATGATACCACATACACTACTGTTCAAACGTTTAGGGTCAAAGTTTTTTAATGTTTTTAAAAGTCACTTATGATGCAGTAAACATATTGTGAAATATTATTTCCAATTCAAATGTCTTTATTATATTTAAAATCGTCTTAAAATGTCTTTATTATATTTAAATATATTTAAAATCGTCTTAAAATGTCTTTATTATATTTAAATATATTTAAAATCGTCTTAAAATGTCTTTATTATATTTAAATATATTTAAAATTTGATTTTTTGATGCACAGAAAGTTCAAAAGAGCAGCATTTATTTAAAATAAAACATTATAATTGTCTTTACTGTTCCTTTTGATCAATTTAATGCATCCTTTCTGAATAAACACATTAATTTTATTTTTATTTCTTTTTCTGACCCCCAAACCTTTTGAACTGTAGTGTAAGTCTCATAATGTTTTATGTACACACCTGGAACTCTTGGATGTATGTTAAGAAGAAGAAGACAAAACTGAAGGCAGTGATCCACTCACACACAGCACTCACTATATGAAGTGTGTAGTCCTTCAGAAGCAGGGAAACAAGTCAAGTCAACTTTAAACATTCAATATTACATTTTACTATAATCTGAGCTCTGAAATGTCTGGTTAGTGAACTGAGTTGTACCTTATCATTGATGTCCCAGTGAGGTTTGCTGGTTCCAACAGAAACGGCACAGAAAATAGCTGGAAGGAGGCGTTAAAGACAAACAGTATGATCTGAAACAGTGCATGAGTTCATATGGAAATCCAGCATGCTGGGATCACAACACTGGACTTTGATGAATAGCGATGAAAGGAGATGCATGCCATGTTTACATTGGCAAAACTATGTTTAATATGTCAACCAGCAGCACATGTTAGACTGAGAAAGGATACTGGGAAAAATAGCTAAAAAAGCCACTGCAGCGAAGAATGCACGGAAATGACACATCCACTTAGAAGGTCCGTAAGGACGACCACGGTACGAGATCACGCTCTGAATGATAGTATATATAGCTCCAAAGATGAAGAATAGTAAAGCACCCAGATCATGGACTGCCATCACCGTCGTCTCCTAGAACACAACAGCATACATGAGAGTCATCACTCATGTATGACTCACCCTCATTCCATCCATACAAAACATTTTTTCTGCTTTTGTTCATAAAGTGAAAGTCAATGGGGTCCAAAACAATATTGGAACCCACTGACTTTCTTTATATGAAGAGTTCAGATGCAAAAGCCTCTAAGTGCCATTTGAAATTTTCTTCTAGAATGATCAGTTTTATCAAGCTTGTATATTTAAGTTCAGTAATTTCACTTAAATGGCAATGATAATTACCTATTAATTGTTATTTAAGTGAAATTACTGAACTTAAATATACAAGTTTGATAAAAATCATCCATAAAGAAGAAAATTTCAAATGGCATTTAGAGGCTTTTGCATCTGAACTCTTCATATAGACACAAAATAACACTTTTCAAAATATAAATGTTGTGTTACACCAAAGAACAAAAGTGAATCAATTCTGAAAGAGTTTTCAGTTGTGGCTAAACTAGACATACCTGAAATGTAGCAACCAAACACATGCCGACGCAAGAGATGACGCCAACAGCAAAAGAAGCCTTGTTCAGACCCGGTGACACAGCACCGGTTGTCTCGTAGACTCTTTCCACAAATTTATATTCAGCATACATAGTAGCAAAGGCTGGAAAACATAGTTTCATCAGTTTAAAGAATTGAAATTTGCTGTGCAATACAGTCAACAATATTCATTCATGCACATGCGACAGAATACATTCTCTGGATACTTTATATTGGTTAAAATTTCATTTGAGTTTCCATGGTGGCTGTTGCTCTGACAACCTTTAACCTGATTTGGCATTAGGTTTCATTTCTGCAGTTGTTGTTTGAGGGTTTGTTTGCAGTTTTGTAAAACCCTGAACTCCAGCTGTGTGTCACGGGTGGGAAAAAAAAAAGTGTTTTCGTTTTCAGCAGAAAGAGAAGTGAGACCAGAATGAGTGAGGTTCCATTGTTACCAATATAACGTATATTTGAGACATTCCCACTGCTTTCCTCTCACATGTCAAAATCAAACAGTTTGCGGTTGACTAAAAAGTTGCACAATTTCCAAAAGGTTCTTGTGACACACAGATAGCCGGGAGTTTCCTGAAGCTGCTGCTGGGAGATTAACTGGTCTTCTGAAATATGAGCTGGAAATCAAATCAAATCGAACTGAAATCAGAAAGTGGCTGATTATTAGTCATACCTGCAAACGAAGTGATTGTTGACATGAATCCAAACACACAGCTTTCAGGTGGATTTGCCCCTGTATCACTGAAAAAAAGTACTGATTTTCAGAAACGTCAATAGAAATATAGGCTATAAATATTACCCAACAACATGTACTCACTATATGGTTAGGGTTTGGTTTAGTTTAATGTAATTATGCATAATTTACTGTTATTACTACATGTAATAAGGATACTTTGAATAAAGTATTACCGAACATTCACATATGAAGGAATTCAGAAACATTGAATCATAACTGTGTAGTCCAGTTTACCGAGTGACATTTAATAAAAGTGCAATCATGGCCTCACCATTACAGTACATTAATATGTGACTTTGAAAATATTGATTATTACTTATTTATTTAAAAAAATATTTTTAAAACAAGTATTTTACACAAGTTTGTTATTATTTTTAAACAATAAAAATGTAGGGTGTTTTTACAGAATATATTATATAGGCCTAATTATATGAAATATGTGTGTGCATGTTATTATATTATATTATATTATATTATATTAGGATATATTATATTAATCTTATTTCAGGATATCTAGTTTGTAGAGCTTCCTGCACTGCACACTAGCCTAGTTTTGAACACGAGCCAGTTGAGCCACGTTCATCTTATAGAAAACGAAACTAAACGAGCTAACAGCAAAAACTTTTTCCCCCCTGAAATTCTTACAACTAGGACCTTTATATGTCTATGCTATTTATAAATACCCGCTTAAAACATGGACTTGTCACTAATATTATAAGCTATTTATGGTCTATTATGTTAAGAGGTGTAGGCTAAATTCGTCAAATCCAGATTTGCATCTAAACTAAAATCAAGCACAATGTAAAAAAGCACATCACATACCTTATATAAGGAAGGACAACGTCCACATCTCGTCGAAACAATGCGATGATATAAGATATTATGAATGTGCTCGATGACCAGATTACCAGAAAAGTAGGTAAAAAGCACATTCCTTCCAAAAACCAAACCATCTCGCATGAGGGCTGAGTGTGAACGGTTCATCACCATTCACGGAGACAAAAGCAAAGAAAACATCACCTCAGATATTAGACACGGACACTTGACTGAACATATACTGGATGATGCAAAGTAACTCGAGGTTTATAACTGTATCTATCGTGTCACGTGTTCGATGGGAATCTGATTCTCTTCCTCATTGTTTTACTCATGATATACATTGTTAACAACAGCATGTGAACAACACACAGAGGTTCTTTCTTTCTTTCTTTCTTTCTTTCTTTCTTTCTTTCTTTCTTTCTTTCTTTTTAGATAAAGCTGTAACACTTTACAAGGATCAAATTGTTAACATTAGGCTAACTACTTTTTCTTTAGCTAATCATTCATTTCAACATTTACTAGTAAATGATTTTCTAGAAATTTGCATTAATATTATCCAAAGTAGGCCTACCTCAGATAACATGAACTAATGAACAGTTGTGTATTTATGAACCAACAAAGAGGAATACTGAAACAATATCTCTTTGTTAAAAGTTGGTTAAGGCATTATAATGTTAACTAATGACCTTATTGTAAAGTGTTAGCCTATCGATAAATCTAATCTCTTAAGCTTGTTATGGTGATGGCCAAAGTATTTCAAAGCGTCTAGTTGGGAAAACTTCTATAGCGTTTAACGTTAAATATATTTTTTGTTTAAAAAATAGCAAAAGAAAACCTTCATAATGGTGTTTTCACAACTATCAAAAAGATTGTGAAAAAGGAGCGACTGATACTCGCTCTTGGCACTGAACTCAGGGCCCATTTTAATAGCGATAGTTCACTTTGAAATTAATTTTTGGAATGTTTTAGCTTACCCCAAGGGCATCTAAGATGTAGGTGTCTTTGTTTACACAGTAGTTTCAATTTTGATATTTTCCAAGTGATCTGAGGGCGCGGGCTCGGCTGTGGTAACAAGAGGTAAAAACGATATACTGTTCGTTTTCTCACACAAACCGATCGTTTTTTTGTGTCTTAGGCCATCAATGTGTACTTATGTTTATGAGTCATTAAATCTTGTTTAATTTAGACTTCTCTGTGCATGCTCTTTGAGGTGGTGACCATAGACCTGCATTATATGACTGAAGAACGGTTTGACCTAAAAATATCAAAATTGAAACTAGGCTACTGTGGAAACAAAGACACCTACATCTCAGATGCCCTTGAGGTAAGCTAAAACATTCCAAAAATTAATTTCAAAGTGAACTATCCCTTTAAAGCAGGTGAACTTTGACAGCTAGTGTTCAGAAAATGTGTGAATCTGCTACTTGTCATCTGCACTAACTCAAAACCTTCTAATAAACCCTAACATTAAATCCATGTGAATATGCAGCTATTGATGAAGCACATTTTCAGTACAGCGGCTAAATACTATCAGTAACCAGACAGTTTCTGGTCCTATTGACTTCCATAGGAAAAAAATATATAGCCTACTATGGAAGTCAATGGGACAAGAGACTGTCTGGTTACTGATATTCTTCTAAATATGAGAAAATTGGCTGAATGGATTCGAAAACGGTAAAACCCAACTGTTTAGCTCTGAGGGAGTTGTAAAATCAACACAGAAAATGAGCATTGCATCTTTTAGATTAAGTTATGTAAAATAGTTTAATCAATATATAAATCATAATTTAAAAACATATTTAAATGTGTGAAAAAGTTATTTTTTAACGTTTTAAATAGGCCCACTTTACAAGAATTGCATGAAGTACCCAAGTGCTCGTTCTCCTATTCACTAGAGGGCAGCAGCGAGTCTGTCATGTTCATAGATGTACTTGAATCGAGCGGCGTTCATCATCACCTGATCACTACACAGAAGGAACTACGGAACTACAGCGTTTGAGTGTTGAGCGTGCGGTCATGTGACAGCATGTTTTAGTGTAATGAAATTATTTGGAAATGTGTGTCCGCATTAAGTGTTTATGGAGGAAGAGATGTTGAAGGCCGGGGAGAGTCATGTTGATAATTAATTCTGTACTGAAACTGCTGCAGCGGCAGACATACACCTGCCTGTCTCATCGTTATGGACTGTACCTGTGTTTCGGAGGACTAGTCCTCATGATAGTGTCTGCCTTTCAGTTTGGAGAGGTAGGTACACTATTTAGGGTGAAATTCATCCGGTAGAAGTATACTAGCTTTATTAGATTCGCATTTAGGCCGTGCATGTATCTTATCTGTGCATTCTGTGTCAATCACTGATTACTGATCAAAGCTGATTGTGCAATGTGAACTGTTGCATAGTGGTTGGAAATCTTACGCACTAGTAGTAACGTAACTGGGTTTGCTGTTGTGTATTGACTGGCTGGTTTTGTTTTGTTTTTGTTTGCAGGTTGTAGTAGAGTGGAGTCGAGATCAGTACCATGTTTTGTTTGATTCCTACAGAGATAATGTTGCAGGAAAGTCCTTTCAGACCAGGTGAGGAACAGATCAATGAAACCAGCATCACTTCATTCACACACAGTAATAAAGCCCTGTTATCTGAACACTCACTAAGGGACACTTCAGCTGATTATTTCAAGTCTGTCACTACTGTTGTAATATATATATATATAATTAGAAAATGGACATTTTTGTATATATGCTCCTGGATTCACATACCTTCCCTGCTTCATATGCTTGTAATAATTCAGGCTTTGCCTACCGATGCCCATCGATGTGGTTTACACCTGGGTGAACGGCACAGACATCGGCCTGCTGAAGGATCTTCGTACTGTGAGACAGCAGTTGGAAGAAGAACAGAAGGCCTTGAGGTACCCAACCCATAAAACACACACACACACTTAATGTAGTATTTGTTTATCCGCACATGGTTGGACATATTTTGCATAGTGTGACTTTGACTATTTATTTAATCTTCCACTGCTTTCGTCAGGAATGTATTCCTGTGATGCAAAGCTGGATTTTCAGCATCATTACTTCAGTCTTCAGGGTCACATGATCCTTCAGAAATCATTCTGATATGCTGATTTGCTGCTCAATAAACATTTCAAAAGCTCAAAAACAATGTTCAATGTTCAAAAGCTTTCTATTTCATATAAATGCTGTTGTTTTGAACGGTTCAAAGACTGGATTTGAATCGATTTGTGAGGTACCAAATGATCCCCACCCCTATATATGTATGTACGGTATATATATATATACCGTACATACATATAAAGGGGTGGGGGTCATTTGGTACCTCACAAATCGATTCTTGAGGTCATGATTCAATGAAAAATTGATTCTCAAATTTTAATTACATTTCGAGCTGATATATACATAGTTTTGTGTTTATTTGCCTATTTGGCTGCGTAGATCGTTTCATAGGTCTTGAAGAAATAATCCCACTAAATTAAATGAGAACCTAGAAATGTATTTAGTCTTCCTATTTTAGTCAACCCAATGTTATAAAACAAATGTCATTTAAGATGACTGCAATCATTACACACATGACTGGCAGTTTTCTTTAATAAAGCAATATTATTTTTGATGTTAAAAATAGGAACAAAAAAGCAAGTCAGATATGTTTTTCAGCTACAGTAGCCTAGGTTTCTTACCATGTAGTAAGAAATATTACAGAAATTGAATAATCAATGAATATCTGTATAGTCTTCACTGTGTGAATTAAATATAAATTGGTTCATATTAAAGATACAAAATTGATTCAGTCATAAGTTTTTTCTATTAACATTAATGAAACAGATGGGAACAGTTTATGAGGCTGCTGTCCCTTTAAGAAATAATGCACACATCTAATATACTATTACACAGTAATAACACACTAACGTGTCAATAACTTTCAAATAGTACAGCGAAGTTTAAGTATTGTAACACACACTTTAGAAAATACATTTTTGAAATACGTGAATCATTGCAAATCGGTAGAAGATTGAATCGTGTCTCATATTTGAATCGATTTTTCCCCGCCCCCAATACACACACACACACACACACACACACACATATTGTTCAAAAGTTTTTTCATTGTTTTTTAGGGAGCTTCTGGGAAAAAATGCTTCTGAAATAACTGACACTCCTAAGGGAAGGTGAGTGTTTTAACTAAGTAGAAATAAGTCAAAATTGTTTTCTCTTCCCATCATGTGTCTGCAAGACTTAAAGCAGTCTGAATATTGTGTGGTATACATTTCCTGTTTCACAGCTTTTGTCACAGCACAGCCACATTGTTTTTTATGTCTCAAGCACTTTCCTGTGTCAAAAGCAAATACAGCTCTACAGAATGGTTATGTGGATGGCTGTACCGCTCATAAAGATTAGATCGAGATCAGAACTTTAATTCAGTCTGTGTGCACTGATAGGCCAGAATGTCTGCTGTCCCACTGCATCATGGGCCCTGTGCTGGTGCTGGATCCAGCCCTTCCTGCCAACATAACATTGAAGGAGTTGCCAACATTTTCAGCAGCGTTGTCCTCTACAAAACAACTCTTACAGGTGGCCAAACCCCTCGTCCCCTCCACAAGCGTGTCTGTTCTTCTTTTCCACTCCCACAGTGAAGGTACAGTTATAACCTACTTCTCACAGCACTCTCAAATGTATAAAGTGCATGAAGTCCATACAAGCTGCGAATGCTCTGCATAGCCAAGCCAGTCATGGACTCGCTAATTAATATTAACTCTATAAATGGCAAAAATTGTACTTACTGATTTGGATGTAAAGTTTGGGCTTTTAGGGAAGGGAGGAACAAAAAAACACATATGTATGTGTGTATATATATATATATATATATATATATATGTGTGTGTGTGTATATATATATATATATATATATATATATATATGTATATATATATATGTGTGTGTGTGTATATATATATATATATATATATATATATATTTATATATATATATATATATATGTATATATGTGTGTGTGTGTATATATATATATATATATATATATATATATATATGTGTGTGTGTGTGTGTGTGTGTGTATATATATATATATATATATATATATATTAGTCTAACATCTTATATTTCCCTTTGCAGCTGAAAAGGCCCATACAGATGCTTTGAAGGACCTCCTGACACACTCCATCAGCAGAGGTTACCTGGTGAGAAATCAAACTGCCGTCGTAACACTCCTCATTAACTAATTCTGCTT